AGAGACGGGGTTTCACCTTGTTGACCAGGATGGTCTCGATCTCTTGACCTCGTGATCCACCCGCCTCGGCCTCCCAAAGTGCTGGGATTATAGGCGTGAGCCACCGCGCCCGGCCTAGTTTCTAAAATATTAATTCAAAAAACCAGTGCACGTTATATAAAGGTAAAATAAAGGATTAAACAAGTATTCACATAAAACCAAGGAAGTATACATTAAATGATCATGAAGGCAAAGAGCCTTAATTTGACTTCCCTATTCCTCTTAATTCTCCTTCTAAAATCATTTCTAATGTAGGCTTTCTCTTAGGTTCTTCTGAGTAAACCAAACATTACTTTTGTCTACTTATTCAAGCTATTTTTAAATATTGGGCAAGGATTATTCAATAACTATATCTATTTAAAACATGGTATTGCTAACCAGATCAAACAGTCTTCCATAATGAACAGTCAGAGTTAGTCAATACTTGGAATGCTCACTGACTTTGATACAAGTATTTAATATAAAGCATAATTTTTACAACTTCATACCTTTAGTACACCTTATTCTCATAACAGCTTCAAATCCAATTTTTCTTGTGAGATACCGTTTTAGGTCTTTTTGTAACTTTTCTGCTTGTGAAGGATTGTGAGTAGAGTGAAATGATGGATAATAATAGATGCACCCTGCAGAATACTTGGACATACAAGCTTTAGAGAAAAATACAAAAGGTATTAGCTACAGAAATAATATTCTCCATGTCCAAGAGTAGTACAGATTCTACAGATTATATATTATGAAGAAATCTAAGTCATGAGAAAACCTAAGGCATCAAAATAAGAACATATAAATCTGAGAAAATAGTAACATCTATAAAATATACGATAAAGTTTACTGTTGAGCAAAATGGTAAGAGAACCATGATATATAAACAAAATGCTAGTGATATTTTATATTTGTATAGTGCTTTAAAGTTTACTGGTAATCTTCATAGATATTATCTATCTAATGCACATGCCTTTCTTCCTAAAATATTATAACATTTACTGAGGAGTTTAGATTTAATTATGTACCAAATGTGTTTATTTAAACAAATGTACACACGATGACTCTCCTTACCTAGAGAAGCAAGATCAGAATATTGTGAACTTAAAAGGAACAAATCCACTGCAGTTTGCTGTCCTGAGCAATCTAATGCAAGTTTCTTATAAAAATCAGTTGCAGGGCCAAGATGCTGTACCACCTAAGTCAACAGATCATAAAGTAAGAACTAGAAATTTTTATGCTCATATTTTCATGTTTTATAATAAAAAAAGGATGTCCTCTGCCTCCCAATCAACTCGGGTATTTTTTAAAATGTCTACGCATTTGGTGGTTTCCTATGATAATAATGATAGCTAATCTTTATAAAAAACACTTATGTGCCAGCACTATTTAAGGTGTTTCACACAAATTGAACAATTACGTTTCACACAAATTAAATAATTTAATTTTCATAACACATGTCTCACATGGTTTTTATCTACATTTTACAGATTACAAACTGAGGCAATAACTGATTAAGTGGCTTGACCAAGATTACATAGATACTGAGAGGTGAATCTTGGAATATAAACCCAAGAAATCTGGCTGCAGAATGAGTGCTATTAACCATTATTAAAAACTGTTATATAACAACGTAAGAGAGTAACAGATTAGGGAAGGTGTTTCTTTTGGTATGAGAAGACTTGAGCTGAGACGGTGACACTGGGGAGAGTGTCTCCAAATTCTTAATCACCATGCTATATTTCCTAACAAAATGTTTCAATCCTCTTAATTATACTGCATGATGATTATATTAGAGCTTACTCTAATATAAGGAATTAAAGATACGAAGGAGTATGTAAACCAGAACAGACACCGAAACTTTAGAGTCCCAGACAGATAAAGAATATTTTTGAAAGTTAAATGAGAAAAAAACAAACGAAACTCTATCAAAGGATTCAGTAAATATATAACAGCTTCCTGTGTTCAAAACACCGCAGTAATTTAATGTATCAATGAACTAAATGCCAGCTACACTTGTTGATGAGTTTAAACAATATACTTATCTTAAAATTAGCTTCCTTCTCAAATGTAATTTAAAAATACAATTTCTATAAACAGTGAAATATAGTGCCTTTTTTCTCTAGCATATTGGTGAAGAACAAAAAAGCAACACTAATGGTGGTTACAGGATGAGAATCTTTAAGAAGAGAGTTTGATTTTAAAAACCCAATAAACAAAACATTCTTTATTTAATAACTTAAAGATTATGCCCTTTAACCCAAATATTTCACTTCTAGGAATAAATTCACTTCTAGGTATTTATCCTAAGGCAAAACTAGATATGTGGTTAAAGATTTATGACACTATTAAAACTGTTCAATTCATATTCATAACTACTTATGACATTTTCTCAAATAAATACTGAGGCCAGACAAAACATATACAAAAGAAAAATGAGTATTTTAGTTCATTTGTTTGAAATACGGGCTTTAAAATGCCCTGACCAAATCTTCACATAAAACCCAAGTAATGTTCAGCTTTGTATAATAAATAAATAATATTTTATTATTATTTGCGTTTTTTTTTTTTTTTTGAGACACTCTCACTCTGTTGCCCAGGCTGGAGTGCAGTGTCAGTGATCACAGCTCACTGCAACCTCCACCTCCCGGGTTCAAGAGAATCTCCTGCCTCAGCCACTCGATTAGCTGGGATTACAGGTATGCACCACTGCGCCCAGCTAACTTTTGTATTTTTAGTAGAGACAGGGTTTTGCAACGTTGGCCATGCTGTTCTTAAACTCCCAGACTCAAGTGATCCACCCTCCTTGGCGTCCCAAAGTGCTGAGATTACAGGTGTGAGCCACTGCATCTGGCCATTATTGTTATTTTTTGAGATGGGGCTTGTTACATTGCCCAAGCTGGTTTAGAACTCCTAAGCTCAAATGATCCTCTAGCCTCAGCCTCTTGAGTAGCTAAGGTTGCACGCAGATGCCACCACACCAGCCCTTTTTAAAAAGTAGTGCAAATACAGGTCTGGCTCATAGCTGTAATCACAGTACTCTGGAGGGTTGAGGCAGGAGGACTGCTTGATCTCAGCAGTTTGAGGCCAGCCTAGGGAACACAGCAAGATCTTGTCTCTACTTTTAAAAAACAAAAGAAAAAAAAATACTGAAGACAAACTATTCAATAGCTGAAAAGCAATCAATTAACTGATTACTTTCACATTTACTTTCTCTGTGACTTCAGGGAACGCTCACAATATACTCCAATGAAAAAGGCCAGTTAAAAATACATATACATATATATGCATGTATGATGCTCAATTATGCTTATTTGTATGTTTATATAACTAAATGCTATTATCTTGTTAGATTACTAACGATTTATGCTTTTCTCTGCTTTCCAAGTGTTATATACAATGATCTGTTATCTTTATAATCACAAAATTTATTAGTATGTGCATGTTGAATTACAATAGCTCATATTTACTAAGTTTTACCACTTGTGTAATAGAAAAGAACACTGGAGTCAGAAAATCAAGTCATATTTTTACCATTAAATAGTTATTTAACCTTTAGATACTCTACTTCCTCATCTATAAAATGAAACGGTTAGACTAAACGATTTCTAAATTTCTATGACTTACAAAGTAATAAAAAGAACATACTGTAACACAAAACCAAAAACATACTGTGAGCTAAAAACTCTGTTAGTTTATTATTAATGAAGTAGAAAAGTTAAAAAAAAAAGACTAATAAATAATTACACAATCTTGAATATGACAAAAAACTAAATATAAAATACCTTTGTACTCGATCTCTGATTAGGATCTTCTCTGGATTGCAGAAGTCCTGCACCCAAGGAAGGTAATTGTGTTTGAAATACAGACACACGGCCACCTGTTGGAGACATTAATTTAAAGGCAGCCTGAAGCGCAGGACCAAGGGCACTGTGTGTTTCTCTTGTATTGGTGAACATATTTGGTAATGCATTCAGTAAGTCTTTTATAAGCTGGGAAAACAAAGATCAAAAGCTGAGTTACTGAGAAGGCAAAGGAATAATCTTTTAAAACATTCCATAGTATATCATGTGTCACTGTATTTCTCGGGACTGAAACTGAGGGGTCAATAGATATGCCACTTACATTGTCTATTATTTGTAATATTAATATAGCAAGTAAACAAATGTTAAACATATTAGTTACCGGTCAAAATATAAATATTTTTATGCTTTAAGAAAGTAAATCGATCTTACCTCTTTACTTTCATACAGATTCACAAGTAAACTATCCGGTGTAGGCAGAAAAACATCTATAGGGAAAACATATATTTTAATCAACAAATCAAGTCAAAAGAATACATTGAAAATCTTGTTTTTTTTTTTGGGGAAAATCTTAGTTTTTATCAGGTCATACACATAATGTATACCATAATATTGCTTTATTAAACACACATACTCTGTAAATATTATACATATGTGTGTGTAATACAACACAGGTGCAAATAACTTAGAATTAAGTATTTCCAGAAAAACAATTATTTTGAAAAAATACTAAAGTGTCTGACATTATCCTCACAGCATATAGCAAATAGAGTAGCCCCCATTTCAGTCTGTAGTTAGAAAGACTTTTATTTTACTGACTGCTTACCATCTATATCAGACACAATCAACATTTGAGGCTGTGATAATCCTTCTTGTAAATTGTAGAAATGAATAGTGCTATCAAAGGTCATGAATCCTATTCTTGTTCGTGAATCTCCAGGAAGCCTAAAAAAAAAAAATGACAATTTTAAATTCAAAGTGCTCAGTAACATATTTCAGAAAATAATGAAATAGTAATTTAAGTCTAAGGATAATTACACATATGCTTCTTTACAGGGGACAGAAAAATTATCCCTATCTAAGCAAATATATATCAGAGAAGATGACCAAAGTGAAAACTTACTCCAATTTCCAGTTCCAATATTAGAACAACAGTATATCTTGCTTAAGCATTTTAAGGGCAGAATGACAAATAAGTACTTTCCAAGAAAAGACTGAATATAACTACAAATCAGATTTCAATGTGTAAAATTTTAAACAAAACCCATTTATGAACACTGAAACATTTTTATTAATCTTTAAAAATGTTGTCAGCGCTCAGTTTTCAAGTCTATGCCACAGTATAAAAGAATAAATTACCATTTCATTGCCTGTCAAGCTTTCTTTATTAATAAGATAGATGCTTCATCTTACATAAGTATATTACTCAGTACCACCAACTAAGTAATTTATTGTTTCAGCAATGCCTTTAAAATACTGTTGGATATTAAAGGATGCCAAAATAGAACATGCAACAAAACAAGAAGCATTGGATGATTGACCAGGTAATTCACATTCAGTCTGCAAGGTAGGTCAAGAGCATTTTCAGAAAACAGAATGCAACAAGTTATGGGGATGTTCAGCTTACCAATATGGGCAATATTTATGATGTTTCCACAGACTAATCTTCACTACTGTGAGACTTCTAAGACCACTGAGGGGTGGGGTCATTTCTTACTGGTTAGAGGAGACTACTGACCTACCCCAAGCTAAAAATATATAGAGTTGAGCTGAAACTGCTCCAACATCAAACTCTTCTTTCTTAAAGAAGTTTCTAGAGCCCTTTCCAAAAACATATTAATATATTTGTTGCTATTCTATCACTTTTTTCTTTTACTTTCCGAGTGCTTTTATTTTCCACTGTAATCAAATAGAAATATTTTTAAACATTTTCCATTCCCAGTTTTACACTTTTGCTTTTGCAAAATCTATTTAATTTACAAGTTGTCAATCACCCCTGTCAGTGTGGCTCCTATATCACACTTTTCATTACAAGGCTAATAGATTAAACGGATTTCTGGAGCAGAGTGACGGAATAGGAGCTTGCTCCATCCACTCCATACATCAACCTGGTATTGTAGTACTTCCAAGAATGGTGTACCCCCTTGAGGGATTAAAACTTGGTATTTAAAGATGAAAACAGACCAGGTGCAGTGGCTCACACTTGTAATCCCAGCACTTTGGGAAGTCAGGCTGGGTGGACAACTTGAGCTCAGGAGTTCGAGATCAGCCTGGGAAACATGGCAAGCCCCCGTCTCTACCAAAAATACAAAAATTAACTGGGTGTGATGCTGTGCACCTGTAGTCCCAGCTACTCAGGAGGCTGAGGTGAAAGGATCACTTGAGCTTGGGAAGTTAAGGCTGCAGTGGGCAGATATCACACCACTGCACTGCAGCCTGGGAAACAGAGCAAGCCTCTGTCTCAAAAAAAAAAAAAAAAATGCTGGGCAATGTAGCTCACACTTGTAATCCCAGCACTTTGGGAGGCCGAGGTGGGCGGATCACAAGGTCAAGAGATTGAGACCATCCTGGCCAACATGGTGAAACCCCATCTCTACTAAAAATACAAAAATTAGCTGGGCATGGTGGTACACTCCTGTAGTCCCAGCTACTCGGAAGGCTGAGGCAGGAGAATCGCTTGAACCTGGGAGGAGGAGGTGGAAGTGAGCTAAGATCATGTCACTGCACTCCAGCCTGGTGGCAAAGCAAGACTCCATCTTAAAAAAAAAAAAAAAAAAGACAAAAATATCAACAATAAACCAACAATAACCCAACCAATCATCTCTGTAGACTAGTCTTCCATTGCCACTCACTGTTAAAGCTATTTTGAAGTAAGCACTTGTGAGTAAAGCAGGGGCAAATACTTCAACCAAGTATTAACACATGAAAACTCTGGCCAGGCGTGGTGGCTCACGCCTGTTAATCCCAGCACTTTGGGAGGCTGAGGTGGGCAGATCATCTGAGGTCAGGAGTTTGAGACTTGCCTGACCAACATGGAGAAACCCCATCTCTAACAAAAATACAAAATTAGCCGGGCGTGGTGGCGCATGCCTGTAATTCCAGCTACTTGGTAGGCTGAGGCAGGAGAACCACTTGAACCCGGGAGGTGGAGGTTGCGATGAGCTGAGATTGCACTATTGCACTCCAGCCTGGGCAACAAGAGCAAAACTCTGTCTCAAATACAAAAAAACATGAAAACGCTTAGTAACAAACAGTAAAAGCAAACCTCTCAATATCTCTGAATTTTTAAAATCTTAAACATCTTAATGTTATCAGTTTCCTTTGAGGCCAAGATCAGTGATATGCAGACTATGGTGACTAGAAGTAGTACTCAACAGGGCAAGGACTCTTCAAGCTCAAATGGAAGACAGAGGAGAACCTTTTGGAATCACCAAAGTTCTTGGGACAAAGTATTCACATATAACAACCCCCACACTTCCACACATTAGGAACCGCTGCAATGGTGAACCACTCTTTCTAACAATCTTAAGTCATATCGCTTGTGGGTGTTAAGAGCAAAACAGAAATGTGGAAACAACTGTATTTTCCAGAGATTTAAAAATGAAGGTTCATTTTTAAAGCTAGATGAGGGGTTCCTTCATGGCCAATCTTGGTAGACAAAGAGGAGGGAATTAGAGCCAGGTATGAGCCATACATCCTATACTTGCTATTTCCATTTCCATAATCTGGCTCATTATTAATGTGCCAAAATGCTCAATTTCTTAGCCAGGTGTGGTGGTGGGCACCTGTAATCCGAGCTACTTGGGAGGCTGAGGCAAAAGAACTGCTTGAACCCTAAGGCAGAGGTTGCAGTGAGTTGAGATCATGCCACTGCACTCCAGCCTGGGTGACAGAGTGAGACTCTATCTCAAAAAATAAATAAATAAACAAAATGCTCAGTTTCTGGCTTCCTAACATATTTAGCACAAAATCAGTTCCCTCCTTCCCTTTAACCAGCTCATTCTGTCATCAGTGCAATTAAAACAAGTTTGTGAAAAAAATTCCTTGCTCAGGTATAAATTACAACCAGATTTCTCTCATCCAGGTTCTTTTTTAAAAAAAATCCTTTTCATCTTTTTCAATTTTATTTAAACTGACAGAAAAAAATGTGTGTATCTGTCATGTACAACATGGTGTTTTGAAATATATATATATATACATACACACACACTGTAGAATGGCTAAATCTAGCTATGAACATAGGCATTGCCTCACAAAGTAATTATTTTTGTAGTGAGAACACAACAATTCTAATCTCTTGCATTTTTCCAAGAATACAACATGTTGCCATTAACTATAGACACCAAGTTGTACAACAGATCTCTTGAACTCATTCCTCCTATCTTTTACCCTTTGACTAGCATCTCTCGGAACCTCCCACCCCACGAGCATCACCCCAATTCCTGGTAACAACCACTGTACTCTTGACTTTTATGAGATTTACCTTTTTAGTTTCGTTTTCATTGAGAACACACAATATTTGTTCTTATTTCGCTTAATGGGATGACCTCCAGGTTTGCCCATGGTATCACAAATGAGAAAAATTTTCTTCTTTGTAAAGGCTGAATAGTATTCCACTGTGTACATATACCACAGTTTCTTTATACATCCATCTGCTGATGGATACTTAGTTTGATTATGTATCTTGGCTCTTGTGAATCATGCTGCAATAAACATGAGAGTGCAGATGTATCTTCTGCACACCGATTTTATTTTCTTTGGATATATTTCAAGTAGTGGGTTTGCTGGATCATATGATAATTGTTTTTAATTTTCTGAGGGACCTTTATACTGTTTTCCATAATAGCTGTACTAATTTACATTCCCCAAAGTACGCAGTTTCCCTTTTTTCCATATCCTCACCAACATGTTATCTTTTGTCTTTTTGATAGTCTCATCCAGATTCCCGATATCCTGGCTAACTCAAGTTTACTGGCCCCTGTGTTCAGATTAGCTAAGTCAGACATTGAGATGAGATCTAAATTCCAGACTAAATATTAGACTTTTATGATTTTATAAGTCAGATTATTCTATGGTACATAAGTAGTACTCTTTTTAGCTGACAGAGAAATATAACCAAACTTAATAAAAACCAACCCCACAAACTGCTAACACTTCACATTTATATGCATTTATATATATATATACACACACACATATAGTATGAATTGAAAATATTCTTACTTGTCTAGATTTTCTAAGAGTGACTGGCACAAAATTGTCAAATATCCAGCTTCCACTGCATTATGAGACACATCTAAAACAAACAAGTAAACTGCAGGTTGAGGAGGACGCAGCTGAAAAGAATAAAAATATAGCAATTCATTTGGTAGGTACAATTTATTCTTTTTATATATCATTATTACTGCTGGGCATTTACTGAATATATTAAACAAAAAATACACAAATAGGATTGCTGTTTTGTAATATGTGCTCATGAAAATGATATGCTTTTCTTTTCTTTTCTTTTCAGTTGGTTGTGGATTAAGCATGACAAGGCAGTTGATACACAGCCACAGTTAAAGAGATGGGTTAAATGTTTTTCTGGTAAGGAGTACTGGCTAAGAGTTCGTTTTTTAAAAATTAGGGTTATGATTTAATACTAAGCTCTCTAGATGTACATCCCTTCCCTTTTCCTAAAAACAAATTTTCATCCCAACAACTTAACGTTAGTACTAGCTACTGGGTTATCTGAAGGTGACTGAATCCTAATGATTAAGTGCTACGTGTAAAAAGAGTCCTTGTGATGATACTGTAAATACTTTTTTTTTTTTTTGAGAAGAGTCTCACTGTTATCCAGGCTGGAGTGCAGTGGCGTGATCTCAGCTCACTGCAATCTCTGCCTCCCAGATTTAAGCCATTCTCCTGCCTCAGCCTCCTGAGTAGCTGGGACTATAGGCACACACCACCATGCATGGCTAATTTTTGCACTTTTAGTAGAGACAGGGGCGGGGGAGGTTTCACTATGTTGGCCAGGCTGCTTGTGAACTCTTGATGTCAGGTGATCCACCTGCCTCAGCCCTGCAAAGTGGTGGGATTACAGATGTGAGCCACCATGCCTGGCCTGTAAATACATTTTTTAAAAAAGTCCTTATGTTGATAATTATTGAAGCTTGGTGACGGGCAAAGGATGGTTCATTACACTGTTTTCTTTGGAGTACGCTTGAAAACTGCTGTTATATAAAGTTGAAATAGGCCAGGTGCAGTGGCTCATGCCTATAATCCCAGCACTTTCGGAAGCCAAGGTAGGTGGACTGCTTGAGTCCAGGAGTTTGATGCCAGCCTGGGCAACATGGTAAAACCCTGTCTCTAGCTTGGGTGACAGAGTAAAAGTCTGTCTCAAGTAAAAATTAAACAAATAAATAAGTAAAAATAAATGAATATATAAAATCTTTTAAAAAATATGCTAAGCAAGGGCCATATGAATCATATGGCAAAACTTAAAAGATTATTTCTTGCTTTACCACTTCAATTAGATTAAGATTCCTAAGGACCCAGAATGGAGTTGGGAATGAATTATAAAGAAGGTAAAGCCTGAGAGTAAAAGTGACCAAGAGAAAGTTTATTACAGTTAATATAAAAACAAACATGAAAATGGTAGTTAGGTGGGCATATGCCAAATTAGACACAAAAGAACATAAAAATTACAAAAATAAAGATGAACCAGGTGCCAAATATTTAATTCACGTCAGTTTCTCCTTTTTATCATTTTCACTAGCAGCAGTTTCAAATTTTGTGAGGCGACAGCAGATACAGTTTTTTGTTTTGTTTTTTGTTGTTGTTTTCTTTCTTTTTCTTTTTTTTTTTTGAGACTGAGTCTCGCCCTGTTGCCCAGGCTGGTTGCTGTGGGGTAATCTTGGCTCACTGCAACCTCTGCCTCCCATGTTCAAGCGATTTTCCTGCCTTAGCCTCTCTAGTAGCTGGGATTACAGATATGTGCCACCATGCCCAGCTAATTTTTGCATTTTAACTAGAGACAGGGTTTCACCATGTTGGCCAGGCTGGTCTGGAATTCCTGACCTCAGATGATACATTCACCTCAGCCTCCCAAAGTGCTAGGATTACAGGTGTGAGCCCCCACACCCAGCTGATAGTTTTTATAAATATGGTAAAAATGAGAAGATACAATAAAGATGATAAGCAGAACTTAGGGCCAATAATTAGTTTCTGAAGTGAAAAGAAGAATGAGATCTTAGATTTCATATAATTAAAAAATAGAATTTTCTAACTGAAACAGAAGGAAAAATTAGAGAAGTCCATATCCACTTATATTGATATCTGTACTTGGTAAACCAGTAAAACAGTGATATCTTTAAGATCCTGAAAACTTAAGTTTCGGGCAACAATGTGCATTTCTCTATTTTGAGAGTCTTAAATGTTAAATGGTAGAAGGGTATCTATATCCACTCCATGCAAGTAATCAAATCAAAATGGCCACAAATCATAGATGCTAGTGCTCATAAGACAGACAAAACTAATATTTATTATTCACAGAAAGCCTTCTAGGAGATCAAATAACCTTTAGAAAGAGTTTTCTATTTGTTAAATATAAACTTTTAGCATTAATTTGTTTTTAAAAATTACAAGTATAAGCAACTTCAAAATCTTGATAAGAATTCGCTTAACAGAAAATTACAAATGACCAATATAATTGTATTTCACAACAAATTTTAACACTGAATAGTTACCATGTAATCTGAAGAAGCAATGAACTCCACAGTTGAATTCTGAACTTCTGGTCGTTTATGAGGCTCTCCATAAGATCGGGTTAGGGGGTTATACATAAATTCTTCAGGAACTAGATAAGAGGTCCCAGTACAAATTTAAGACACAATTTGTAACTTAACACATATATACACACCTAAAAATAAACACCTATTATCAATATTTACATGAGGTTTAGCAATAGTTCTGTGAACACAAAATGGTAAAAATCAATCCCTTAAGCCCTCCTTAAAAAATATGTAAAGGCAGATGAATCTCTTGAGCCCAGGAGATCGAGACTAGCCTGGTCAACACGGCGAGACCACGTCTCTATGAAAAATACAAAAATTAACCAGGCATAGTGGTGCAAGCCTGTAGTCTCAGCTACTCGGGTGGCTGAGGGATGAGAAGAGCTTGAACCTGGAAAGCAGAGATTGCAGTGAGCCATATTGCACAACTGAACTCTAGCCTGCATGACAGCAAGACCCTGTCTCAAAAAAAATAATAATAATAAAATTAAAAAAAAAAAAAAGATCACAAGGATTAAAAAAACTTATGTTCTCAAATCAGGTGAGAAAACCAGGATGCAAGTAACCTTCCTTCTTAGACTTGTGTCCTATTTATTTTATCAATGACATGAAAAAAAATCAGAGAAACATAAATTTGAAAGCAACTCTAGTAGGGGAACCTAAGAAATGAATAAAGGGAACAAGAGACTGACATATATATGTGCATGCATCCAGACAAACTGGCAAAATTCTACCTGAGTTGAATTAACCAAATATACAAATGTAATACAATCTTATTGTCGGGGGCAAACATAATTAGTCTGCATAAGCTCACCTGCATGAGTGTCACTGTTTTGGACTTTTTTTTTTTTTTACTTTGTCCTCACTGTTATGCTCCTCATTGTCAATTATTCCCTTGGTCAGCCAAAATGAAGCCTTAGCCTAGTCCTAGCCTTAGCTTATATTCCTTTGGCTAAAGATGGCATAAAAATTCTTTTTGAAGAAATCAAGAGAAAAACCAGGAAATGACAAAAATGTCAAAAAACATTGAAAATAGGATTAAAAGACATTTATTTTAAGAATCTAAAAACTCACCATCATTAACTCTATAGCACAAATTGCATTTCCATCTACGTTGATCAATGAAGGATACAAAGGGGTTAATATATGTTCGACAAGATCGGCACCTCACAATGGTATTTGATGTTATCACTGGTAATTGCTAGGAAATAAAATAAAGAAGTTGTAGCAGAAAAAGGCACCCCAAGGAAAAACAGAACGTATCATGCTCTGCTCCACATACAGAACAAAAACCTTAACTGTTTTTATGTGGTTTTATATGGAAGCATATTAATAAAATCCAGGGACGTGCTGAGCAACACATGCAGCCATCAAGTTTTCTCCCTCTTGTCACAAATCGTAACATTAAAATAAAGTCATACCAAATATTGGCCAAGAAAATAATGTAAGCTAGATTTTATCAGCTGAACTTTAGAAATAACTGAGAGAGAAACATATACCACATATAAATGCCTCTGTCTTTGTTGACTGCACCTGGTAATACATTATTAGGCACTGCTCATTAGACGGCTACAGCAACTTCTGATGGGAGCTGAGGCTAGCAGCAGCCAAACACAATGTGCCTTTAAAAAATGCATCTCTATGCTTGGTTTGGGAAAGGAATTTTACATTCAAGAAGAAAAGTTAGAAAATATGAAAAAAGATTAAGAGATCACATATTATTCTATGTCCCTAAATTAACCTGCTTCATTTTAGTATATTTCATTGTTTTTTTTAATATCTGCACATGAACATTTATGATCTTTGTATTTAATTTTTTCACATATGTTATTATTATTACACAAGTAACCACATATCTGTTGTAAAAAAAAAATCAGGAAATATAACTGAGAGTGAAAACATAAAAAATTACAGAATTCTACATCCCGGAGGATGTCACTGTAAACAATTTAGTATACACACTTCAAGAAAGTATCATGTATGGTATCTGTATTTAGAGAAAAACTCTTACCTATGTATATAGGAAATTAACTGTCTTGGTTTAGAGATAAGGTTTTAAGAGTATTATAGGTGATTAAAAATATTTACTGAATGAATAAATTCACGGTATTTATTACATATTATAATTTTTTATTTTCTATTCATTTTGATCTTTTCTAGACTTCCTAGTAGTAAAGTAAGCTTCACAATGAAGCTTTCAAGCTTTGTATTTCCAGCATCCAGCTTGACAGGTAGTCAATTAATATTTCTTGGATGAATAAGAGCAAAAGAAAACTCAGCACCAGTAAGAAGGATAGTAAACAACAGCAGTAAAAAGTTTGAGAGAGAAACACAACTTACGAAGTAAAAACAGAAGCTGTGAATTAAATTATTTTTAAAGTTTTAAAAATTTTAAACTCTTAAAACTTTAATTAAAAATTTGTTTAATTTGTTAAGAAACAATCAGACAGCTTTCCAGTCTAAGTAGACATCATTGTTGGTGTTTCCTTTGTGTTTAATAAAGAACTCCTAAAGTGTATCTACCTTCCATGGCCATTCCACCTTCCAAAGCTACTGATCTTTCAAAATCCAGGTCAGACTTCATCACTTACAGAAAACTTTTGCTACTGTATCCACAGGGAATCACTTCTCATACTGTACTCTCTACCTAAGTAGCTCAAAGAATTTGATTAATTACATGTATTAATTCTTCTGCACTGTTAATTATTGTTTTTACATCTTTGTCCCATTAGATGAGAACTTTTTGATGGCAACTTCAATGACTTGATCATCTTTGTACTACCAGTGCTTAGTTTAGAGCTTGTCACAAAGCAGGTGCTCAGAAAATGCTTGCCAAGTTGAATGTTACAGAAATGATTATTTCTAACTTCAAACAAAAGAAGACAAAGAAAATTCTAAGAAAATATAAAATTTAAGTACCTTGTACATGCACATAAATGTCAGTACCCATAAATACTTTAAAATGTTACTTTACCGTTAGGTCTCTGAACGGATGTAACAACAATCCTAAAGGAAGCTTAGCTTTATTCAGTAAAGCCTGTGTCTGTGGAATATTTGTCAAAGTACATCGAAATGAACTGCAAAAAACATAAACAACATGGAGTATATTAGCTATCAGAGAAAAATACACTGAAGTAGGCAAGATAATTAAGAGCATTTAGGGGACATAAGTGAAAATCATTTGGGCATGTAGTTATAACTATAAGCAAGAAGGTCCTGATTAACTAGGCATGTATGTAATATATGCCAAAAATTTAAGTTGAAAAGTCACACTTTCATGGTAGAAAAGTAGTACACATTCAGGGGAGACCAATTACTCCATTATGACTAGCCTGGAGGACATGAATAGGAGCACATAGAAAACAGAGTGAAAAGGCATTATTTCTTTGTTTTCAATTATTCTGTTGCTGCTTTACTGCCCCCTTTGCACCTGTCGAACTCCCACTCTTACTATAAGACTCATCACGGTTATTGCTTATAACCACCCTCACCCCCAATTCCCCAAGTCAGAAGGAATGACTTCTTTCTCAGTGCTCTATGTTTGTACTTCTATATGATATCAATTAGTCTGATTTAATTTAATTGGTTGTTTATCTTGTCTGTCTTCACCACTTGAGATCAGAGAGCATTTTGTCTTTGTATTACCCTAGCCCAGTTTCCCTCATTGAGTAGGTGCTTATAACTTATGAAGTTTTAAGGTCAATAAACAAAGAATGAAAAAAGGAGAGGCCAAAGAAGTAAAAAGCAGAAGTACTGAAAGCCAGGCAAGATATTTTAAGAAGAGTTTCATTAATATCATGTAGAGATATAGAGATATCTATTTATTGCAGGCTTAGTGTTGTTCCTTGAACACAAAAAGCTTGTTCCTGCTTCAGGACCTCCACGTTTGCTATTCATACAGTTTGGAACCCTTTTTTCCCAGAGAAGTCACTAGGCTTACTCTCTCACTTCACCCAGATCTCTATTCAAATGTTAAAAGTCTTTGGGTAAACCTGTCTAGACTCCTCAATTTAAAAGAGTCACCTCCACCCACACTCCCTATTCTATTTTTCTTCATTGTAATACCCTGAACATTACATTATATATTTACTATTTTGGCTGTTCAAAGAATATAAGTTCTGTGATTCCATAGAGACCAGAAACTTTGTTTTGTTTACAACTTTATCCCCAGCAGATGGAAAACAGTGTTTTGCATTTAACTTAGAAGGCATTTGATATTTATTGAATTAATGATTTATCTTAGTATGTTGATACTATTATTATTCCTGTTTTACAAACAAACTGAGACTTTGAGAGGTTAAGTAAATTGCAAAATTTTATAGCTACTTATCATTAGAACCATAGCAAGAACTTAGGTCTGCTCAACTCTAAAGTCTATGCTCCTAATTATCTTTTTGTTATTTTGATAAAAGATATATTTTTGCAAAAAAACATATAACTGGGTAGAAAAAAGTATGCCTTCCCCTTACTTATGGGTTCTCTTATATATGCTGTATTTTCTTAAAAAATTACTTTTTTGCTGGGCACGGTGGCTCACGCCTGTAATCCCAGCACTTTGGGAGGCCGAGGCGGGTAGATCACGAGGTCAAGAGATCGAGACCATCCTGGTCAACATGGTGAAACCCCGTCTCTACTA